TTTATTAAGAGTCTACACGTTTGATATGGGAAAAGTAAAATTCGAATCATTGTGTTGAATTTTGACATATAATTAATATTTTTAAAAAAAATAAATCTTGAGCATATACAACAAGAAGGCTTGTTAAACCGATTTTATTCAACCAATTGATCTAAAATCTTACTTCTATCGAATCTTACATGCATATTTATTTAAATGAGTGACGACAAGATTTAAACTCAAATATGCTTATTCTGATACAATATTGAGCTCTAAATTTAAATCTTGAATAGTTGGACATAATCACATGTATATATAATTTAAACAATATCTTTAGTCGGGGAATTATTAGGTTTTTAGAAAACTAGAGAAACAAAAAGTCACATAATTAATGTCATTTTTGGATCTCCACATCAATGGGAGCCTAGATATGGACACTACATGGACTACCAAAATAATGCTCCTTGTTTTGACAACTAAATGACTCATGATCATGATTTGAAAGTTTGTTTAAACCTAACCTGTAACAGCAGAGCAAGATCGAACAATATAATGAATAAGATTTTAACTTATTTTTCTCTTAGATACCTCCGTATCTATTCTTGTTTAGCAACTACAAAATATATAATTTTATCTTCATTCTCATAAAGATATGCTCCACGGAAGAACGTAAATACCTGAAGTTCAAATTTCTACCACTCAAAATTGGTAATCAAATGATAGAGAGGCAAAGAGAAGAATATAAATGCAAGAAAAATGACTCAATTTAGTAAATTAGAGTTTCATAGCATAGCCAAGTAAATCAAACCTTCTGTTCAATCTGCCAACAACAATTGAACCAGAAACCTAGCACGAACCGGGAACTTTTACAGAAGAGACAGAACGAGAAGTTCCTCTCACGCCACGACAATTGCAAGAAACCAAAGTTCACATCTCAACAAATTTCATGAAACAAAAACTATATTGGAAAGCTTGACTTTAGATATCGTACGAAAATCCTCGGAAATCGCCCGGTGACAGGGTCGCTGATTCTTTAGAACAGGTACTTTTGATAGCCTCTAAAATGTACTTGTAGCCCGAAAAAACCTCCATGAGGGACTGAGTAATTCATGGTCCTCCGTTTTAGTTCAACTTGTATATATCACTGCCTACTATAAACTTAGAGTATTCATACAGCAATTTGTTCTAGGCTGCAATTCCTGATGAACAATCAGAAACAAATTAGAACATCGGCATGGTATGTGCACGATTACCTATTTACAGCGTGTATCAATGTAACTTGTGAACAAAATATTTTTGTTATCCAGGAAACATGATATATCTATGTTGATCAGTTCACAAACTTGAATAAATTACGAGAATTGTCGCTTCTCTATATGTTAAAATGTAAATGGGAACTACATAGAGGAGTATAGTGGAGTCGAGATATAAAATATTTACCTCTATTTGACCTAGTCGTAACACTATAACCACCTCCGACATAACCAACAGAATTTTTAGGTGTAACATCTGCAGCTGCAGTGCTGAGCCCGTAACCAAAGGAGGCAGACCCTTCTAGCTCTGGAGACAATGAACGCCAAGCAAGATCACCGTAACTTGTATTAGCTCCATACAAGTTCCCAAAACCATCATCTTGGGCCTCGTTTGCGGCAGAATATGCTGATGTAATCACATTGTCTTCAGTGTTTCTATTGTAACCTCCCCTGCCACCAAAACTATTTTGTCTGCTGCTATAGTTGCCAAAATCACCACTGCTTAAAGAACCATTACCCCCACCTTGTGCTGAAATGGGGGAGGAGCCCCAAGTTCCCCCAATACTACCTAAACCACCAACTATGCCAGTATTCCCGCTTCTCGAGCCAACAAAAGTCTCAGAGATCATAGAGTTTGTACCAAAATTAAGACTCTCATTGCCCCACATGTTTGGGTTTATTGAGTCCAACAAAGAACCATTTCCTCCATCACCCATATTATATCCAATGAGATTTCCATATCTGCTTTGATTTCCTCTATAGTAGCTGTTCATGATACGTCCATATCCCAACCCTGGTTCTCCAGTCATCCCATAGTTCGAGCTCAACCCCAAGTCCAAGCTTAGTCCCGTGCTATAATTGGAGGGGCTATATGGAAGATATCCATTCCGAGTTACGGACATGGGACTAAATCGACCGTCCATTCTCATGCCATAGCCTCCCAAGGAGATTGAATTATAGCCTTGAGTAATAGAATCGAGGAAACTGCTCGCCCTATTTAGACCATGGTTATATCCAGTTAATGGGCTTCGAGTTGGTCCTGGAGATAACTCCTTTGGAACAGCTCGTTTAACCTCAACCATTTTCCCATTAAGTTCATGAAAGGTTTTGAATAAAACTTTATCCACTGCCTCCTCCGAATCATAAGTAATAAAGCCAAAACCTCTAGGCCTTTGTGTATTATGGTCATACATGACCACAACATCTGTTATCGTTCCAAATTGTTCAAAGTACCTCTTGAAGTCGCTTTCAGTGACTGTTGATGCCAAGCCACCCACAAAAATCTTTTTCGTGCGGGCAGGACCAGGCGATCCTTGAACACTTCCGTTGTTTCTGTTGATGTTTTGATGATCATCCCTAGGAACAGCCTTTTTTGCCTCCACCTAAAGAATCAAACGATCAAATGATGTAAATTAACTGCTATCAAATTTTCAAACAGTAGCACAGAAGACATTCTGATCATTACTTCATAAGAAGCAATATAAACGATGCTGAAGAATGCCCTTCTCTACAAAAATATGAATACTACCTGCTGAAACTTCTGGCATGTGATGCTAATTAGCCTAGAGGTCACAAGAAATATGAATAATTTCAGTAATAATGTTCTCTCATAATTGGTAACTCGACATGACATTTGTGTTAAGAACTACAGGAATTTTAAAGTTATGCTTTAGTAAACTATTAGATGAGATCTGAATCCGTGAGAAACATATGTTCCACTATGCCAAAAGAACAAAGGAATCCAAAGGGAAAAAAAAGAAAAGAAAAAGTGCAACAAGAATAACAAATTTAGTCCCTAACTTCACCAAGTGCTAAGCACTTAGGAAGAACTTGACACCAGCTCCACATTCTACCTGTTCCCCATCCTTTTACTTGATTGATAAATTTTCCATGAATTAATTTACTGCATGCCTAGAAATATCACATGTTCGTCAACAATAGTCCACGTTCTATGCGTACCAGTTCAGATGACGACCACAAGATTGCCTTGTTCTAGTTAAAAACAACCTTCTCTGGGTCCTTATTAGCTTTAAGCTTATGATAAGATAATAAATAAGCTTCCATCATGCAAATATACCACATAACAAAAGTACTCCAAATGAACTGTATTAGATTAATTCCAGCGGAAGTCGAGGAGGATATAATTGGACAATAGATGAAATATACACTAACTGCATGCCATATTAATACATGATGAATTATGCATACGCCAACAAACATTGATTTGATTTTTCAATTAAAATGTTTCGAAAATGCAGCATCAAAATTGAATCATCAAATGCTTTGCAGAATGCGAACGCTTAACTTACAGTTCTTCCATCTATCGTGTGTCTTTCCCTGACAACTATTTCAGCAACAGAAGTATCTGCAAAAACAACAAAACCAAAACCACGGGCACGGCCAGTGTTGCGATCTTTCATTATCAGAGCTTCCACTACTTCACCAAAAGTTTGGAAATAGTTTCTCAGACGCTCTTCATTGGTCTCCCAAGAAATTCCACCAATGAACACCTTGCCGGGATTCATTTCCATTTCTGCACCCCGCGTTGGCAATCATCAAATAATTCCCAATTAATCAAATCTAAACCAATTGAATTACTACATTTGCATAATCACATAATAAATTTTCCAATCAATCAGATCATTCAAAGTAAAGAGCACGCAATGAATCTATCAACAATTAACCCAAAACTGGAACATTAAACTACTTCATGAAACAATTTGATTTCCAATTTTTATACACCTCACTCATCAAAGAATCTATTATCAGAAAAAAATACAATCAATATAAAACATGATAATGTAGATGAATTAACAAAAACAATACCTAATTAAGTAAATTACAATTTACAATATAAACTTGGAGATTTCTTGCACTTAAATGAAATCTGGGCAATCTTTGATTCAGCAGGGAATCATATGATCTTTATCAGATCAATAGACCCAGAATCCAGAATCCCTGAGAAACAATAAAGATTCAAACTTTGACTCGAAACAGTCAAGAAAAGATCAATATGTAACAAAAAACAAGCTTTAATTTACCAACAGACAAAGACCCAGATAAGAAATGGTTACAATTCAAGATCTAAGAGGAGGCATGGATTGAGAAAAGCAGAGGGCTTAGAGGCCCTCTTAGTTATTTTTTTCCTCCCTTTTTCGTTTTCTTGTTTATCAAAATCAGTCTTTGCTTCAATTACCAAGATTGTATATTTATAGTATATTTTACGTGAAAGAGAGAGAAAATAGAAAGGTAATGTGATTGATTTTCACTCCTCCACTGGGTAAATATGGTGTTGATGTATGTGCGTGCGTGTGGTTTACACCATAAGAGGGAGCACTCTTTGGCTATCCTCTCGTGTG